TTGAGAGTTTCCGTGTAATAATACCTCACTCTTTTGGATAGAATTAGTGGTGCAAGTCGTAATATGTAAAATAATTGTTTTTTAAAAAACGACAGCGGTTTTGTGTTACATATATTGGGACTCAAAAGAGACAACCATTCAAGAAGAGCACACAGCGAAAGAAAACTGAGATTACATTTCTCAAAAGAGAGAACCAAATTTTCTTTTTATGACATAATTTATCATTCGAATTGAGAAATAATATGTAAAAATAACATAGTAAATTTGTACTACAAATCCTTCAAGCTTTTCGATATAACAAACCAATTATCTGACCAATAGGAGGAATCCATAATTTGGTAGTGTTGGTTATGTGGGTTAATAGATGTAGAAAACCACTAACATGAGCGGTGGAACAGCCTGATCAAATATCATCTTCGACACCAATACTACTAACACGACTGAGCCATGTGAAATCAGAATCCATGCATGGTCTGACCGCCAAAAAACTTATTTCCTACTAGACAAGCACAATATAGTTATTCTAACTATCAAAAAGAAAAACTTAGTTATACTTTTACTAAAGAACTAAGCGAATTTTTTTTCCTTAATAGATGTTTTAGTTTGGATGGCATACTTAAAATACCGGGCAATATTTTATGATAGAGGTCATAGATTTTTTAAAACCATCAAATACAATTTAGGATTTAGTTGTTTTAGTTCTTATAAAATATAAACAAAACAAAAAAGGGATTTAGGTCAAAGAAATCGGATGATAATGACACGTGGCAAATAATTGTGGAAATGGAAATTTTATGTTGTCATAGATTTTTTAGAACCATCAAATACAGTTTAGGATTTACAGTAGGTGTTTTAGTTGTTATAAACAAAACAAACAAAAAGGGATTCAGGTCAAAGAAATCCGATGAAATAGTGACACGTGGCAAAGAGTTATGGAAACGGAAAATTTTTGTAAAGAAAAAATAGTGCACATGTTAATTGTTAAGTCGGAAGAGACAAGCCGAGTTAATTTTAGTAATTCCTTTTTGAATGTTTTAAATTTTAAAACAAAAGGCAAATTTCTTTGGTCTAACCAATACGGCAATACCTTTACCATTTCTGAAGAATAAGAACCCATTAAATTTTCATAATAATACTACTATATTGTATGATTTTTAGATAGAATATTAAAAAAGTTGTAAAGCTAAAGCTCTATAGAACTTAGTGACGGATATGATTAAAGAAAAGCCACATGGTCACCTCTCTCATAACCTGTCTTTGTCCGTTTCAGGTAAAAAATTTTGGTAATTTCTTTTGTGTTAAACGTTTTGGCGTTAAATCTTGAATTAGATTTTTAATACAAATAATCTTTTTTCTTAAAAAAATACAAATAATCTTGAATTAGATTTTATTTGTTGTGAATATATAATGAAATGTTCACGATTTAATTTCGTATGAAATTTATCAATATGACAAAACAGATGGAGTATATAGTTAAAGATTAAGATCTTACTTTAACAAAACAAAAAAAAAAGAGTAAGATTTTAATGCAAAATATACTATCACTTATTAGCAAGATAGTGTAAAAAAAATGAAGAGATGAGACATACGTACCTTTTTTTTTACTAAAGAAAACGACAAAAAATGACCAAGTAAGAAAACACCACTCATGTCCATATATACATATATGGCACAACCTTTACAACAAAAAACATATCCAGAAAAGGAAACTCAGGACATCAAAACTTTTTAAAAGGAACACTAGATGAATATATATATCGTTGTGTAAATAAGCATCAATCAATCGATTGATTCATATGAAAACATATATTATTAAATCTAAACTTTATTATTCTCGATAATGTGTAAAGTATTTGTACATCAGCTTTATATAGTAGCTGTATTAACAATCAAATACAAGTAAAGCTTATACATGTATTGTTTAACAAAAAAAAAAAAGCTTATACATGTATTAAACTACATAAATACAGATTGTGATATCTAATATATATCACTACATGCGAATTAAGTGGAATATTATAGACCGCTGGATGGATTTCCGAATATTTATCTTAGCAACGAACGTGTGACGAAATATAGATAGATATGTTGTGTATGTAGAAAACAACGCTTTATAATAAAGAACTAGATTTTAACCCGCGGTATTTAATTTTAAAGTTAGTATAAAAAATTTTGGAAATTATATCTCCTTATAACATATTTATTTATATTATAGTTTACAATTGTTATTAAGTAACGGTATACCACGAGTCCACGAGATAATTATTAATAAACTGAGGATTTAACCCGTATTAAAGTGGTATATAAATATTGATTCAAATTCGTCCGCCATATAAATCATTTTCGAAATATAATCCGTTCCGTGATTTCTTAACCCGTCCTGTGATTTGTATTTCAAAAAATAAGGATTAAATCTGTATTGAAGCGGCGGATTAATGATATTTTAATCTTTTTATTATTGTTGATTCAAAAACCCGTCCCGCCAAACCCATCCCGCTAAAAAACTCATTTATTTTATTAATGTTCTTATTTATGATATGATTCTGAATCATTGTCTAAATATTTTAATCGATGTAGAACGTTGAACACACATTTTCGTCAATTGGATAATATATATCCGTTTTTAAAATTTCGAATCACAGTATATGCAGAAAAAAAATTGATTTTTTTTTACTTTATGTATTATATGATGATTCAAAACAGTTAAAAACAAATCAAACAAAGATGATAGGAGAATCATAATTATAAATCTTAATCAAATCTTCTAAAAATCTAAATTATTAAATATGGAATATCCGGTGTATGAGTTGGGTTAAATATAACCCGACCCAACAAATTTTTTGTGAAGGAATTTTTAAAATGGGTCGGATATCCGATATACCCGAAAGCTTTTTACCCACCCGTCACAAAAAGTGCTGCGATTATACTAGTATAGATAATACTATAGAATGTCAAAAAGACTCAAAACAATTGTTCATGGGTTATAATATAAGAAAACGATTAATCTCATCAAAGAAGAGAAATTCCACAAAAATCATATATATTACTTATCATATTTATTGGATCTTTAATTGACAAACATGAAACTTTGCCAAATTAAAATGGGGAAAAATGTCATTTAATCGTCCAACTTTCAAAAAATGGCCATTTTATACATGAACTTCATAGGAGGCCATTTTAAACATCAACTAAACGTTGACTGCCGTATTAAACATGAGACTGCGTTGACCTGGTCAATATAGACATGACGTTAAAACTCGAGAACGGAACCACTAACAGCCGTTATCAGCCGTTAGCTATTCTGTTAGTTAAATCGTCAACTTTCAAACTTAGGCCATTTTAAACATGAACTTCGTATGAGGCCATTTTAATCATCAACTAAACGTTGACCCGACCAAAAAAGACATGACATTAAAATCTGCTAACATAACCACTAACAACTGTTGGTGTCGGATCCCGCACCAGAAGTCCGCGACCAACCAAAGATTGCCACGTAGTCAAAATAATGGTCCATAAAGGATGAAGCCCATTGGACCCATGGGCCGAAGGAGCGGTCGAAGTGGTTGTCACTACCTCGAGAATCCGAAGTGACTGCACTGTGACACGAGTTCGGTGTAGAAGACACGGGTAAGCCGGTTCAAGGACACTTGGGCCAAAAAGGCGAGGCCCATGAAGATCAGAGTCAACTCAAAATTCAAACGTTGAGCATTAAAGTCAAAGAATCAAAACGGACACATTTAAGAAGGAATAATTGTACTTAATTACTCATTTTAATGTCGTTTCTCTATGTATAAATATAGAAGCCAATGGCCATGTAAAGGGGATCTTCCTCTCAAGAAATATTATCATAGCAATTTTCGTAGCAACTTACAATCTTTTGATACATTCATTTTTTGTCCCTCAAGAATAATCTTTCCTACATAATAAAATACTTGAGTGTGTGAATCCGACATCCACAACAACTGTTATCAATCATTAACGAATAACAAAGCTAAAAAAAAAAAAAAAACATAATACAAAGAACCAAAACACAAACCAAACACCAAAGACACTAATAACCAAAAATAAGAAATTTGTTCTTGATTACTAGTGTGCAGACGAATGGTGAGATCAAGAGAGGTGAACGTAAGACACTAGACAATGATAAGAATTAGATCAAGAAAGATGAACGTAAGACATTAGACAATGGGGTTAATATCCCCATTTTGTTCCATATTCCCATTTGCATACATATTATGTACTTTCATCATGCTTCTCCTCAAATTAAGTATTCATCTGTTCTTTTCTCTCAATTTTCGTATCATTGTCTAGTGTCTTTCGTTCACCTCTCTTGATTTCACCATTCGTCTACACACTAATATCCAAAAACAGATTTCTCATTTTTGGTTACTAGTATGTCTTTGGCGTTTGGTTTGTGCCTTGGTTCTTTGTATTATGTTTTTTTTTGTCTTAGTTTTGTTGTTCGTTAATGATTGATAACAGTTGTTAGTGGTTATGTTAGCAGATTTTAACGTCATGTCTTTTTTGGCCGGGTCAACGTTTAGTTGATATTTAAAACGGCCTCATACGAAGTTCATGTTTAAAATGGCCTAAATTTGAAAGTTGACGATTTAACTAACAGAATAGCTAACGGCTGATAACGGTTGTTAGTGGTTCCGTTATCGAGTTTTAACGTCATGTCTATATTGGCCAGGTCAACGCAGTCTCATGTTTAATACGGCAGTCAACGTTTAGTTGATGTTTAAAATGGCCTCCTATGAAGTTCATGTATAAAATGGCCATTTTTTTAAAGTTGGACGATTAAATGACATTTTTCCCAATTAAAATGCGGCGTTATTTAGAAAAACCCCGTTTCTATGTTCCTCCTGAAGAGATATGTGTCAAAGACTTTTTTTTTAGTTCATCGACAAATGAGTAGCTATTATTCATAATCTCATCTTCTTTTTTTTTTTTTTTTTCATAATCTCATCTTAACATTGAACAAAAACAAACTTAGGAACTGCATGAATTTTATTCTTAACTACGAAGGTGCAAAATGTGAATAATCCAAGAGTAATAATATAAATCAACACATGAAGTCGCGAAACTATAGGGGAATCACTATAACTAAGGCTAATATATTAAGCCCTAATTGATAAACCTATAAACTCGAAGAAAACCCAAACCCTAATTCAACGATACAAGAAACAATCTTAATCAAAACATATGATTTGATATATCATACAAGTGACATGCATATATATAATTAATGAACAAAAAAAACAACAAGAACAAGATACGTGGACAACACAAACTGATCAGTAGCCCCACAAGTCCTCATCATTTGAATTCTCCGGAGAGTCATCCGACGGCCGAGAACCCATCCACGACGGTGGCGCAACCATCATCCCTTCTGCCATATTAGCCAGCAGATTAGGCATATTTAAGACTTCTTCTTCGTCCATAAACTCTGTCCCACACCATGACGAAGAAGCCACATCATTATTTACGTGGCTCTCACGCGCTCTCAACTGCGAACTACTACTATTCATCTCCGTTGCCTCTTTCTCCTCCTCCCCTTCCTCACATCCCTTCATTGCTGCTGCAGCTGCCGCCGCGGTTCGTATATCCGCTGCCGATTTTGATTCAGGAACCGGGTATGACTGGGCGGATCCAGGGAAGTTCAAGACGGCTCCTCTTCCTTTAAGAGCCAGAGCAGCCACATCGTAGGCGGCGGCTGCCATCTCTGCCGTGGGGTAAGTTCCAAGCCAGATTCTCGTGGTTTTCTTAGGCTCACGAATCTCGGAGACCCATTTACCACTTCGGCACCGGATTCCTCTGTACGCCGGATCCTTTCTCCGGCTACCTAAGCCGGAAGAAGCCATTGTATTATTCATACTATTAGTAGTATATAGTAAGTAGCAAGCGGGGGAAGGGTTTTTCACACGTGGCGAAGAAGAATTTGTCACACGTGCGAGGTGGCTAATTAATTAAAGAAGATGAAGAAGTTTTGGGTTAAGATCAGGGCCATTTGGTAGGATTTGTATGGTGACCATCAGCCACATATATATAGAATTGAAAAGTAAACAGTATACTTATATATGTATGTGTGTATGTTCTGTATATCTATAAAGACGGAATATAAATTGAATTAGTTAGGGATTAGTGAGAGATTAATATTCAAATATGAAATGAATCATGAAAGGGTTATTTCACTAATATTTTCTTAACACACAGTTGTTATTCTCTTTCACTTTCTCACTTGGGGTTGTCGAAAGTGTGTTGGCCCTTGTTGGGGTTTTTCTTGTAATAATAATTGAGAAAAAAAAAAACTATAGTTCATATACTGACAATATGATACTGTATAGCATATATCGTGTTTAGCTACTAATTGATATTTAAGCTATATATATAATCAATATGAAGCTTAGGCATATTCTAAATTAAAAATATTCAAGACAGGCGTTGTAGTTGTATAGAAATGAAATGTTGTTGGATTACTTGAATATGTCTTGAAGGTTCACTTTGTTCAGATGTTGATTATAATTTGAATTTTTTCGTAAAATTTAGGGGTCTCGAACTGAAGACACGTATGATCAATCACGCCTTAAACGAATTAGAAGTTAATACATTTATCACAAAATCCACAGTAACAGTTAACCTGGCACTTTCGTGAGAAACCTAAATGATCAAATAGATGGATTTTGGAAAAATTCAAATCCAGGCTATGAGGCTTAATTAGAAATTGACGTGACCTTGCTTGCATGTGGACGATAGTATAATGCTTTTTAAAGCAAAACTTCTTGTCAAAATTTTAGACGAACTGTGTATAATTAGTAAAGGTGGTGCAATCCCTTGATCAATGTGATCTTTTTCCAACCACATTTCACAAAAATGGCGTCTCAATACTATCCACACAACGAAAGCTTAAACTAAACACTAAATCTTAAAACCTATAACTTTTAGACTAAAATCGTAAACTCTAACTTCTACATAAAAATCCTTAACTCTAAACTCTAAATAAAATGGTATTTTAGTTTTAATAGATTAAACTTATTTTTTAAAAAAAATTGGATTTTTCCCATTTTTTCTAGTTTCATTGTATAACACATATTATAACCAAGGATTAATTATCAATAATTTAATAAACAAGGATATTTGATAGGCCTGGGCGTTCGGCAGAAACCGATCAAACCGAACCGAGAAACCCAAAATTTTCGGTTATCGGCGTCGACTATGTGATGAGGAGTAAACCGATCGGCAAAGTTTTTTTTGGATTTCGGGTAACGGTTCGGTTCGGTTCGGCAGGCTATAACCGATCGGTTATTCGGTTTTTGTTCTACATCACTCCATCTTCTTCTTTCCTAGTCTGCTTCTGTGTGTTCTTATGAAGAAGAAGAAGTTGCGGCCGCCATGATTAATCCCTCACCATCGATTAGGTTCTTTACTTTGTTTGAAATTGGGCTGATTTACATGTGGATTCAAATTATTTTATATTAAGCCCAAACAAATGTGTTAGCCTTGATAAGTCAAAAATAAAAGACATGTGGCCCAATAATGTTTTATACTCAGCCCAAAACGACATAAAGTCATTTTTTATGCTTAACCCTAGATAAAAAAAATATGATTGCTTCTCTTCAACCTCCGTGCATCTCTCTCTCGCCAGTTCTTTCTCTCCTCTTCAAAATTCGAAACAAAACATCGAATAATCATATCATCTCGTCTCTTCGCCGGTTCTACCTCTTGATCTTTTCCAGCTTGTACTTCTTCGTCCGCTAGATTACAGTAAGTTGTCTCACCCATCATCAATTTTTGAGTTTTTCTCTTCAATGTGATTTGGGGTTGGTTTATTTGATTTCTCATGGAGTTTAGAATGAAAAAGAACCGGAGTTTTATCCTTACTATTCCTTCTATAACGATTTAGAGGTATGAAATATAGAATTGAAGTGTTGTATTGTTGTCTATTTTGACCAGATATTGTCGGAAGTCTCATCGGACGAGGAGATCCAACAGTCGCCGTTGCCATTGACGTCTCCTCGCAGCCTCGCCGTCAGCCACTTCATGGAAAACCCTAATTGTAATGGGTTTGGGCTTTAATCCATAGTTATGTGATGAGTTTGGTTTTGTAATTGTAATTGGTTTTTTTTATTGGTTTGTTACTAGATTACAGATTTTTTTGGGCCCATTATCTGTATTTAGGGCTAATTCGGTTTAAATAAACCGAAATAGAAAAAAAATCGGTTTAATTCGGAATAGATTTTTAAGCAGAGAACCGAACCGAATAAACCGAGATCCGAACGAACCGAACCGAATAAAATTTCGGTTCAATTCGGCAGGTTTTCTAGATAACCGAAAAATCAAAAAACCGAATAAACCGAACCGATTAAACCGAGTAAACCGAACGCCCAGGCCTAATATTTGATACCGAAAAAGGAGGACAAGAAGAAAAAAAAAAACATTTTGTCAACAAAAGAAAATCGGTTTAATCTAACCGGCGCATTAAACCGGTTCTAGAAGCAGATCAAACATAGTATAGTCGTACTTATTAAACCACCGGACAAACAATGAAGCAAACAGAATCTCTCGAGATTCACAACACAGGCCCATGTGGAATTAGGCCCAACTGCATCAATCCACCTGCACATGCCTGTAATGAAAAACAGAGGATCAGAGAGTGTAGGTTCCGCCATTTACTTAGTTCTTCTTATGTGTATGATTCATTCTATAATTTGTTCGATTATCCATGGAATAGAAGCTGAAACACACTCATTGGATTTGGAAGGTTTTCCAGTTTTCACTTTCGTTGCAGAGATTAAAGACGAATCAGAAGTCATTAAAGCTTCAACCTTTTTGCAGTGTGTGAAAGTTTGATGCATGTGAAAGCCGAACAAGCGAATCAGCACAAAATCAAATTCAGTTTTTATTCAGAGCTTTCAAATTCTTAACTTGGGTCATGTGGAGATTGGTTCAGACACGTCTTCTCGAGTCAGGTACTCCGAGAACTGCTTTAATCTTGTCTTGCTATGGACGAGTCTTTTCTAGTGTCAGTGATGGTAAAGGGAAAGTCTCTTATAGAGAGAGATTGAGAAGTGGGATTGTTGATATTAAGAAAGATGACGCTATTGATCTGTTTCAAGAATTGATTAGGTCTCGTCCTCGTCCTAGTCTTGTTGATTTCAGTAGATTGTTTAGTGCCGTTGCCAGAACAAAGCAATATGATCTCGTTTTAGATTTCTGCAAGCAAATGGAATTGAATGGGATTGCTCATAACATCTACACTCTGAGTATTATGATCAATTGTTTCTGTCGCTGTCGTAAACTTCAGTTCGCTTGTTCCGTTATGGGAAAGATCTTGAAACTTGGGTATGAGCCTAACACAATTACATTTTCAACTTTGATCAACGGTTTCTGTCTCGAGGGTCGAGTTCCTGAAGCTGTGGATTTAGTTGATCGAATGGTGGAAATGAAACATAGACCCAGCCTTATAACGCTTAACACTCTGATCAATGGACTTTGTCTCAAAGGTAAAGTGTCTGAAGCATTGGTTTTGATTGATCGAATGGTGGAAAATGGCTGTCAACCCAGTGAAGTTACCTATGGACCGGTTTTAAATGTGATGTGCAAATCCGGGAAAACTGCCTTGGCCATGGAGTTGCTCAGAAAGATGGAAGAAAGAAATATCAAGCTCGATGCAGTCAAATATAACATCATCATTGATGGTCTTTGCAAAGACGGGAGCCTCGACAATGCACTCATATTTTTCAATGAAATGGAAATGAAAGGGATCAAAGCAGATGTTATTACCTACAACTCTCTCATAGGAGGCTTTTGTAATGCTGGTAGATGGGATGATGGTGCGAAGTTGCTGAGGGATATGATCACAAGGAAAATGACCCCCAACGTTGTCACATTCAATGTTTTGATTGATAGTTTTGTGAAAGAGGGAAAGCTTCGAGAGGCCGAAGAACTGCACAAGGAGATGATTCAACGAGGTATATCTCCTGATACGATTACATATAGTTCTTTGATAGATGGGTTTTGCAAGGAGAATCGCCTCGATGAGGCAAACCAGATGATGGATCTGATGGTTAGCAAAGGGTGTGATCCTAATATCGTGACTTACAGTATTCTCATAAATGGATATTGCAAGGCTAAGCGGGTTGACGATGGTTTGGAACTCTTCCGCAAAATGTCTTTGAGAGGAGTGGTTGCCAATACAATTGCTTACAACACCCTTGTACGAGGGTTTTGTCAGTCGGGAAAACTTAATATTGCCAAGGAACTCTTCCAAGAGATGGTTTCTCGTGGTGTGCCATGCAGTGTTGTAACTTATAGTATTTTGCTGGATGGTTTGTGTGAGAATGGAGAACTAAAACAAGCATTGGAAATATTTGAAAAAATACAAAAGAGTAAGATGGAGCTTGATATTGGTATATATAACATCATGATTCACAGGATGTGCAATGCTGGTAAGGTGGATGATGCTTGGGATTTATTCTGTAGCATCCCTCTCAAAGGAGTGAAGCTTGATGTTGTGGCATACAACATAATGATTTCAGGATTATGTAGGAAAGGCTCACTGTCTGAAGCAAATATGTTGCGTAGAAAAATGGAAGAGGAAGGGTTTGTGCCAGATAATGGTACATACAACACTCTAATCCGAGCACATCTCCGAAGCAGTGACGTAATCACTTCAGCTGAATTCATCGAAGAAATGAAGAAGGGTGGGTTCTCTGCTGATGCTTCCACTATAAAGATGGTTGTAGATTTGTTATCGGATGGTAGATTGAAGAAAAGCTTTCTGGATATGCTTTCTTGAATGCCTACGAGAAGGTCCAAGTATGTGAGTTGTTAGTCTAGTCTATAATATAAGCGTGTCAATTGTTGGAAATTTTGGGGCCATAAAAGCAAGCTCACCACAGAAGTCTCTCTATCAGTGAAAGCCACAACAGAAGAGTAGTTTAGCTATGAACAATCCCTGGGTGGCTATCGGTTCTTGAGCATATTGGGAGAGTAGTCGTCAAATGAAAGAGCTGCTCTAAAGCTATAAGTTTTTCTTGTGATGTAGTTGAACATGTCGTATTTAACTTTAGGACTTGTCTCAGGTTGTCTATTAAAAACGTCCATTGGGTTCCCTGTTGTATTTTACTTTGCATTTGGAGACATAATTATACACACACATGTGAAATCCATCTTGTCAAAAACTCCACCTTATTTAGAAGGTTTCATGATCATCATCCAATGATGAAAACTGAATGTGGAATTTAAACTATAGGGTTTTGGATCTGCGGGGATTGATTCAGACACGTCTTCTCGAGATTTGGGTCATGCGGGGATTGATTCAGACACGTCTTCTCGAGACAGGTACTCCGAGAACTGCTTTAATCTTGTCTTTCTATGGATGAGTCTTTTCTAGTGTCAGTGATGGTAAAGGGAAGGTCTGTTACAGAGAGAGAGATTGAGAAGTGGGATTGTTGATATTAAGAAAGATGATGCTATTGATCTGTTTCAAGAAATGATTAGGTCTCGTCCTCTTCCTAGTCTTGTTGATTTCAGTAAATTGCTTAGTGCCGTTGCCAGAACAAAGCAGTACAATCTTGTGATAGATCTCTGCAAGCAAATGGAATTGAAGGGAATTGCACATAACAACTACACTTTGAGTATTATGATCAATTGCTTCTGTCGCTGTCGTAAACTTTGTTATGCTTTTTCTGCTTTGGGGAAGATCATGAAGCTTGGGTATGAGCCTAACACAATTACATTTTCAACTTTGATCAACGGTTTCTGTCTCGAGGGTCGAGTTCCTGAAGCTGTGGATTTAGTTGATCGAATGGTGGAAATGAAACATAGACCCAGCCTTATAACGCTTAACACTCTGATCAATGGACTTTGTCTCAAAGGTAAAGTGTCTGAAGCATTGGTTTTGATTGATCGAATGGTGGCAAATGGCTGTCAACCCAGTGAAGTTACCTATGGACCGGTTTTAAATGTGATGTGTAAGTCCGGTAAAACTGCCCTGGCCTTGGATTTGCTCAGAAAGATGGAAGAACGAAAGATCAAGCTCGATGCAGTCAAATACAATATCATCATTGATGGTCTTTGCAAAGATGGAAACCTCGACGATGCATTCAACCTTTTCAATGAATGGAAATGAAAGGGATCAAAGCAGATGTTTTTACCTACAACTCTCTCATAGGAGGATTTTGTAAGGCTGGTAGATGGGATGATGGTGCACAGTTGCTGAGGGATATGATCACAAGGAAAATCACCCCCGACGTTGTCACATTCAGTGTTTTGATTGATAGTTTTGTCAAAGAGGGAAAGCTTCGAGAGGCCGAACAACTGCACAAGGAGATGATTCAACGAGGTATATCTCCTGATACTTTTACATATAATTCCTTGATAGATGGGTTTTGCAAGGAGAACCGCCTAGATGAGGCCAACCAGATGCTGAATTTGATGGTTAGCAAAGGGTGTGATCCTAATATCGTGACTTACAGTATTCTCATAAATGGATATTGCAAGGCTAAGCGGGTTGACGATGGTTTGGAACTCTTCCGCAAAATGTCTTTGAGAGGAGTGGTTGCCAATACAATTGCTTACAACACACTTTTCCAAGGGTTTTGTCAGTCGGGAAAACTTAATGTTGCCAAAGAAATCTTCCAAGAGATGGTTTCTCGTGGTGTTCATCCTGATATTGTGACCTACACAATTTTGCTGGATGGGTTGTGTGACAATGGAGAACTAAAGAAAGCATTGGAAATATTTGCAAAAATACAGAAGAGTAAGATGGATCTTGATATAGGTATATATAGTATAATTATTCACGGGATGTGCAATGCTAGTAAGGTGGATGATGCGTGGGATTTATTCTGTAGCCTCCCTCTCAAAGGAGTGAAGCTTGATGTTGTGGCATACAACATAATGATTTCAGGATTATGTAGGAAAGGCTCACTGTCTGAAGCAAATATGTTGCGTAGAAAAATGGAAGATGAAGGGTTTGTGCCAGATAATGGTACATACAACACTCTAATCCGAGCACATCTCCGAAGCAGTGACGTACTCACTTCAGCTGAACTCATCGAAGAAATGAAGAAGGGTGGGTTCTCTGCTGATGCTTCCACTATGAAAATGGTTATCGATATGTTATCAGATGGTAGATTGGAGAAAAGCTTTCTGGATATGCTTTCTTGAGAAGGTCCAAGTATGTGAGTTGTTAGTCTAGTCTATAATATAAGCATGTCATGTCAACT